TGCTGGATGGAACTCATCCGAGGAACAACTCTCGACGAAAGCAATACGAGGCGCACGGTGGAGCAAGCTGAGATTCTCCCCCACCGTCGGCCAACACCTGCATCTTTGCCGGTCACCGGGCCGTGACGTCATCGCAGTGTTGTCGCCCAGACATCTCGTCAATCGTGTGGTGTTGTCGCGGGGACGATGACTTGCATCGACGGGTCAATGACGCTGACGTGAATCGTCAGCGCGCAACAGCGCGTGGCCGGTTAGAACGCAGTCGTTTAGTTACTAACTCTTGGCTCGGTGCAGTTGCAACTTGCATAGCACCGCTTTCGGCGCAGAAATTTCTCTTCGTTCCTTTCGTGGCGGCCTGGCAGCGATCGGGAAGATGGCAATCACTAAAATCGACATATGTTTCGCTGCTGGTATCTGTCGGACAGGGCCACCATAGCCGTGTCGGGATGACGTCATACACGTAGTGTGAATATAACATCTTACACCCTGGAGTCGTCGTATCTAATCCATTCGCTCAGACGCGCGCTATGTCCTTGGGAAATTCATCGGTTTGAGACCCACAACGCAATTTTGTCACTAGGTGGCGGCGGTTCTTCCTGCTGCGTTCTCGTTGCTTCGAATCGAGGCGGATCGTGCCAGCTTCTTAGGGATGACCGATGACGTCACGGTTAACGACGTTTTGCTTATTCGCATCACAGACATCAAAGGTAGCGAAACGCGGTGGGTGAAGGGGTTTCTCGTGCGGCTGGTATCGGACAGCCGAGTAGAGGTACGCCATATTACGTGATGCTGCCATCGTTTATATTGTTCTTTGTTTTGCTGCATTCGTGCGTTCTCCTGCCAGCGACCACGTCGCGTTGCCGATTGTCGTACCACAGACTGCACGTCAATTCCATGTATCCTCTATAGCCGAAACGTGACAGGTTGATCTTGTTGTTTGTTTGTGCTGGCCAGCGAGTTCCATGCCCATAATGCGGACGTTAGTGAGGCTGAAAAAATCTTCGATCTTCGTACAGGCGCTTAGATGAACAAGGAACCCTCCTCAACTCTCCTTGCCAGTTGCGTTGCTCCACGATTATTTTTCGTCGGGCGTTTGGCGCTAACAGGACGCAGAGTAAAAGCCAGCCGAATGCGCTGGCAGTAGCCACGTGTAAAACGGCTGCCAGTAACACTTACGTGCCGCCTGCGGCATACCAACTCTTGTAACCTGTCGGATTGCTGCGCCATCTGCACGCAGCTAATTACTATCGGTTATCTTCTAACTTAAAGATTCGGGAGGTAACTTTCAAGCAGTATACGCTTATAGTGACGCTCATCACGATACGCTACGCACGCGTGCACGCGGCAAGACACACACACACCGCGCGCCAACCCGCGACGCAAAACGATTCTACGTACGCATTCCTGGCACGGAGCGGCACGGCATGCCACAGCTACGCAACACGGCACGCAACACGCACGCAACACTCGCTTCATCACGTACAAACACACCACCACTTCATGCACAGCACGCAAGCACACATTGCACGCACGCAGACACATGCACGGACATAAGCATTACGCTGCACGCTTATCATCCACACACACGCTTAACAGGCATCGCTACGAGCACAAATATCACTCGATGCACGCACCACGACAGAGACACGCACACGGCCACGCAGACACACCACATACGCACCACGCCGGGCACAGAGACACACACACACACACACATCGCACGCACACATGCACGCAGCACACACGCACACCGATGCCACACGACGCGCACACACGCACAGAGGACACACACGCACAGAGACACCACACACGCGCGCGGCAGCACACGCACAGAGGACACACACGCACAGACACCAACACACGCACACATGCACGCACACACTACGCCACACTTTGCAACAACGCGCGACACACGCACAGAAGGGCACACTACGCACAGAGATACACACACGCGCTAGCCTTACTACAAGTAAGCAGTGCAATAGTAAGTTAGTAATGATAGTACATGTTGACGGTAGGAATCGCTCACGACTGGGCTCGCTACACAGGTTTGATCTTGGCGCGTCTTCTCGTCACTCGGCCTCGGTGTATATACTTTCGAAGGTGACTGCAAAGCTCTCCGTCAATATTTTCTTCTCTTACGTTGCTAGCAGTCAAGTCGGTCGTTACTAACACAGCTCGATCAATCTAGATAAATCAACGTATCCGCGTCGTTTACAACACCTCAGTTAGTACATGCGTCTATCTATTCGTATCATCTATCCACACTACACTACGTATCCTGGATTCTCATTCTTGTACTTAGTAGTACCAGGATCTTATTCTAAGTATGTTTCACTATAGACCCTAGTATACCAGTACTAGACTTAGTGACTCAAGGACTTCCATGAAAATCCCATCGCTCAGATGTTGACCAAGACTATCCAGAAATCCTCAGACTGCTAATGATATGTGTTGCACAAAATGACTACTATACTCAAGGTACTTGTACTTGGTGCGACTGACTGCTAGTAACCGGTCACTACATTAGTGAGCTCCCTGCTGTCTGTCTGACTTTCTATCTATACTACGGACGCTACCTCTATCTTATTTATCTATCC